GCACCTTGAAGGTCTGAAATACATCAAGTGACAGCAATCCCACGCACTGCTGTGCAGCAGGTTTTCTGGGAGACTGGGGTGGAGGAGGACCTGTTTAAAGAGAAGCTCCTTCCCTGGGCTCCCCACCACCACCACTCACCCTGAAAAAAGAACTTCTCCTTGCTCAGAACTTGCTGGGAGTTAAACAAATGCTGCATTTCCCTTCAAAATGCTCCAGTGTGCTTAGAGTGGGTGTTATTTCTAACTACAAGCAAGGATGCAAGGAGAATAAATTTTTGCTAGAGAGAATTGTTCACTTGAAATTGTATTTTCTACCATGATACCAACTTTGTTCCAAGACAAGATCTATAAAATCAATGGCACAGAACCCTGCACAAGAGGCAGTAAATTATTTTTAATACACTGCTGAGAGAAATTACATGGGGAAAAAAAGTAGATAAATTTATGGGTGCAAACCAAACAGTTCTTGGTGGTTTTTTGTTTGGTTGTGGTTTTTTTTTTGGGTTGGAATTATGATAGATATGGATGATGCATTAAGGCAAGAAAGTTTCAGTGAAATATACACTTAAAATCTAGTTCCACTAAAATGTATAGCAAAATTTCCAGCCATATTGAAGATAATTCCATCACCTGAATGTAGCACCCAGCTGTTTGAACAAGTAGGGGAATATATTGCATCTCTCCAAGCCCCACCTATACTGTGTTATTTTACACAAGTTGTCCGTATAGGTTTTAAAAATGGTGGGTTTATTCATTATATGCATATTGAGAGTGGAGGAGTACCATGAACAAGTTGAGGTACCTGTTTATGATGTACCTGTTTATTAGCAGAACTTGTCCCAAGGGATTTCAAAGCCTTCAGCACTGACCACACTGTCAGAGGCTGGGTGCATTCGGGTCAGTGTTTAGGGATTTGAGCACAGACAGCTTCCTTCTAATAGAGGTTTGGTGAGCTCAGGAGAAAATGCCAGATGTATAATAATCAGAAAACATACTTTCAGCAACAAGTAAGATATGCTTTCTGGGACAGAAGTCCTGGTCATCTGATAGACATGGCATTTAAGAGAACATAGGGATGGAAGAGTCCTCTCTAAACATAGTGACACTATATATACAAGCTCTAGAGAATACTAGTGGGGTGATGGACTAACAGACCGAATAATTCAAACAACTGAAGACTTGTTTATGAAAAGCAATGTCATAGATACTTGTGTGAGAAGGCTGGAGTGTTTTATTTGGGACCTGAATACATAGCTATTAGAAAACAAATTCTAAGGCTTACTGACAAAAAAAAGAAAAAAAACAGTCCATGTCATTTAGAACATGGATATTAGCAGTGTATTGATTATCCGAAAAGTTTTTCACTTTTTGCCTAGTTTATATTTGTATTTATGAAATAGAAGTAGTGTATCAAATTAGTAATAATATTGTTCCATAGTGCTAATTAGGCAAAGTGCTCTACCCAGATTTTTCATACATCACATGGCAATGCTGTTGATGTTATCTATTTTAAATATGGCCCCTTTCAGGAGATCTGATCCTGATAATGCTGTCTTCAAAACAAATTTCAAACCTTTTGTTTCTCTGTAAGCTATTAAAATTAATTGTCTGGGTACTTAATACACTATTTCTTTTTGCAGTATAGGATGCCTAAATGATTTGGAACAATGCATTTCAAATTATCCATTGGGTTTTGAACTCTTATTTCAATTGGCTTCACGGAAATAAATGTATTAGAATCACTATAACCATTACTGATACAAAATCACAAGCTGCCTACATTGCAGAACTGTTTTGAAGCTGAATTTTAAGAAGAGCCAACCCCAAACTCGTTGGTATTCTTTCAAACTTCTCTCTGCTTAGACCTCCATTTTCATTTGCCTCCAGCACTTACCCTCACCCACGATTTAGGAAGCACCTAGGGTTACTACAATACGCAATAAAGCCCATTGCTGAACCAGCAGCAGTATGCACAAATGCCTTTTTACAAGGTTCATGCTCTGAACATTGGCCTTTTCTTGTTGTCCAAAGATTACCAGATCTGCTTTACTCCACAGCCATAAATTTGGTAACTTGTTTGAGATACGATAAACACAGAAAATACAATAACTTGAATTGTTAAATTGTTAAATTACGTGGTTTAAAATTGGAGCTCTCTGCTTGTGTCCATGAGCACAGCAGTAGAAATGAGGAGCAGGAAGCGCCCTCCGTCCCCTGCTGCCGCCAGCGCAGACACAGGCGGCGGCTCCTCATGGACGGCTGAGCTGGGGGCTGAACCTGCGTGTGCGGGGCTCTGGCTGCAGCTGCCCAGCACCTCAGGACCTACCAACAAGCTGGTCTGAGGGCCGAGACAGGAGGAGAGCCAGCGACTCACATCTCGTGACGTTTCTGGAGCTTTCGGTGTTTTGCAGGTTCGGGTCCCCAGTTACCCAGGACTGCTGATCTTTCACCCTTTGTCTCCAGTCTTCATCAGGCCTTTGACACACCAAATGCCAGCGGAGAGGAAAAAAAAAAAGGCAAACAAAAACAAGGCATGGAGAATAAAAACAACAAAAAACCACTTTGAGGCAAATGTGCTCCCCAGTTAGATGTTTGCATGGCATGGTTCATAGTAGGACAGAAATAGCATATCCTAGGGATTTAAGAGTCTTTGGAAATGGGTAACACCATAAAAACATCTGCCAACTGGAAGTACTTCTAGGGTTGGCTGGAAAACAAGAATTCTGTTTTGTAATTTGTTTTGTTCCACATCAGGAGCAAACTAAGACCTATTGAAATTTTGTGCAAGCAAAACAGAATAAAACGCATAGACAAGAGCCAGCAGGTCAGTAGTTACCACTTACCTTAGCCCTCTACATCCCAGGTCCACGTCCTAACTACAGAGCAGTCTTGCTGTCTGTTTGTCTCCCACTCCGTTCACCCAGTAATCTGATGAAAGCTTCCAAAATTGCCACAGGAACAATATATTTTTGCAAAAACATTACACAGTTGATCATGGCAACTGGAAAAAAAAAAAAAGCCAAAGAACTCCCAAACTGTTCCAAGACCCATTTTAGCACTTTCCTGGTGCCTGGTACGTGTACGGTGTGCGTTGAAGTGCGCTAGGTAAAATCGGCAGCACAGAAGAGCTGTGAGCTGACAGAGCAGCCAGCCTGACAGCAGCTCCAGTGAGTTGCAGTTAGTACGGGATAACGTGAACTCCTCTGACAGGGGTAGCAGTGACTCAGGAAAACACACTACAATGCTCTTTCTAGGAAAGAAGTTTTACAAGAATAGCAGTGGGAAACTGTCTTTGCTTTGCCACCAGACCCCTTTGCCCCAAGCCCACAGGACTCCAGAAGCGCCAGTTTTACCTCCGGGCCTGCCAAGCCCCCATGAGGCAGTAAAAGAGCACGGCTCCACCGAGGGAAACCCAGCCTCGCTGCCCAGCTGCAGATCCTATGAAGGGGAAAGCAAGTGGACGACGGGCATCCAGCAGCCGCAGCGCTCCCAGGTTCTTACAAGCGCAGGGGAGAAGCTGCAGCAGGGTCCCCGTGGTCATGGCTGGGACTCGCTTGTTCGGCTTTGCCAGTGACCAGGAGATGAGTGGCAAATGCACCTCTGAAGAAAATATGAACCATGCTTATGTGACGCTGAACACAGCTGGCAGTCACAGCTCAGGAAGCGAGACCCCCGTGCCATCATTGTCTTTTCTCCAAAATCCTTTGCTCACTGTGCTGCAGCCAAAAATGCCAGTAAAACATTGGTCACCACCTCAAATGGCATCACTGCATTGTTTTACCAGGATATAGCCTTGGTGACTTCACACGAGGGGTGTATGTCTGCAGTTCTGGTCTCTGTGGTGCTAAAGGGCACAGACAACCACAGAGCATCCCGAGCTGGAAGGGACCCGCAGCCACCACCGCGCCCAGCTCCTGGCTCTGCACAGGAACACCCAAAAATCAAAATCCAAACCATACCTTTGATAGAAAGGCATCCAAAATATCCAGGGGGCAAAGTATCTCATGCAAAAAGACTACGTATCTTGCACAATTACAGCCAGAACACACTTTTGTTTTCAAACCCCTGCTGGCGGCACTAGCACTGTCACACAGCAGGCCGGGAGACCTCAGGAGGCTGTGGAAGCAGAGGGGATCAGCGAATTCAGAGGAGTTAGAGAAACGCATGGGCAGCAGGTCCGTGAACAGATATTAAATGGGTTTAAGATGGCGAGGCAGGAGTGTGACTTAAATTACCAATCCCTAGCACAATAGTTCGGGATGCTGGACACGAAGGAGGGAACAGAGCGCAGGCACCAGGCACATGGGTGCGCTCCATCGCTGCCTGGGCTGCTGGTTTGGACACAGCATTGCTCTGAGCAGTAAGGCACATTCTTATTTGTAAGTAACTCACTGAGCTTGTGCATTCCTCTAGGTGAGGATGCATACAGCCAACAAGCCCAAAACTTAAAGGTATTGCCGGCTGCCTCTCCTCAGTAAATGTGCACTGAAGAGCGCGCGCTCAGTGCTGGCTGGAACAGCAGCGGTCCCAAACCAGCAGTAGCTGATTGCTGCTACACCCCTCTCTGTATCCACCCCCAATGCTGCTTTTTGCAGCTTTGAAATCTTGTTAAAAATAGCCTTTGAATCTATGGAAGAGTTTATATTAACCCGAGTTGGTGTCTTTCTGATGAGGAGGATGAGGGAGCCTCGTGGGATGTTTTAGCACCATTTAGACATGGAAAGCAGCTGCTTCATCACTCACACACTTCACATCATAAACCCTGGTGTAAAACCCTCATGTTCCTTCGACACACGTGTTGAAACCACACCGCCACGCGACCGCCCTCCCTGCAGGAAGGCGAGGGAGAGGCTTCAAGGGAGAGGCTTTCTCCTCCAGTGGCCTCCACGCTCCCCCTGCCTCCCTGCCCGCCGTGCCCCTGCCTTGCCCCAGCGCAGGGAGAAGCACGGAGGCTGCACAGCGTTGTCTACCAACCCCTGAGCATAAGAAGATGGTAACTATTTAGTCGAGAACAAGCAAAGGTATTTATTAGAGCTGTAGGTATAAATAGTCCCGAGGAGCTGCGCTGCCCCATGCCGCGGGTTCGCGTACCAGCGCTGTCTGCAAGGCTCCGCTCCTCGGCTCCAGCGAGCTCGGACAAACGCCACCACGCGTGGAGCAGCGCACGCAGCAGTGACTGCGGTGAGAAGGCGTACAAACGTGGTCATTTAGACAAGTCTCTCAAGTCAGATAGCTGGCAGGCACTTTGGTGTATCGCGGCAGACACCATCCCCAAGCGGATCGCGTTCCTGGACCACGAAGGCGTCTGACTTGTACAAAACTGGTTTGACCCAGCGAGCAGATGTCCCAAGCCTCTTGGAAGATCCCTTTTGCAGTCTCCTTCTGTGAAGGACGTTTCACATGGCTTCACTTTCCACCACACAGGCTCTGGAGGTAGTGACACAAGTCCATAACCAGCGAGGAACTGCACCCTGCAGATGAGGTCCCAGCTCCGGCGCTAGCAGTGCCTCTGCAGCCTTCTCTTCCATCACGATGGGCCCAGACGGACGTGAACTGTGCACGGCTGCCCTTAGCTTTCCCTGGCATTCTTTGGCATGTGTCTTGGCATGGTTTCTTGGTTCAGACATTAAAAATGTGTTGTTGTTTTTTTTTCCTTCCAACTGGGAATAAAGTGAATGCATTATTCCCAGGTGAGAGCATCTGTCAGGTACATAATTAACTCCACATTTGATAAAATGCTTACTTTTTCCACACAAGTCTTGGCTTTAAAATATGGAAGTATTCTGTATTTGAGAAAGATTTAAATTTTCTCTATACAAATAAACAGCACCTGTAACATCTTTGTTTCCCTTCTCCAATGCCAACAACTGTGCCAAGGCTGATCTTTTTGCTCAGCAAACATTTCTCCCCACAGGGAAGAGAATTTTTCCTTTTCTCTCTTTATCAGAACAGTTTAATCCAGGTAAATAAGAAGTCTAGAAGGCTTGATAGGGATTTTCATGGAAGCTTTCAGCACAGAAGACCCATAAGAAAAGTTACAAACAATTGAGAGGAAGACTTCAGCCACATATTCCCAGCACACTAAAACAAGCCTCTGACCACAGGCTTCTTTAGGCAGCTGTTCCGATATGTATTTGTCAAAGTGCAACATAATCCTAACTAGTAATAAACAAACCTACTGCATATGAAAAAGGAAAACTAGGGTTTGGGGGGTTGCTTTTTTCTTAGAGTACCTCTTTTCTTGCCTAGCCTCTCCCATGTAACCGTCAGTGCTACCCACGTGCTGATGCCTCGATGCTTCTTTTATTTTTCCATCCATTTACTGCTCTTACTGGAGCTGACACACAGCCTGGCCCTGTTTGAATGACAACACCCCAGGTCCATGCTGGCAGTATTCAGCACAGATTTGCCAGCCACATGAATAATTCAACATCAGCTACGGAACGGCTTGTGCCATCTCCATAGCAATAAATACTGCGACGCCCTGAGAGCAGCAGATTATATATAAGCATTCCAAATCTCTTTAGAAGATTAGATTTTATGGGAGGACTAGAGGAACATCCATTAATAAACATACAGGAAAAATACCACGGGGGGTGGAGGGCAGCTGTCTTCCTCTACCTCACCTGGAAACTCTGAAGTGGCTTCCCCTTGCCCAAGCCGTGACACCTTCAGGGGAAGGCAGCAACAAGTCTTCTCCTGTTACTATTCAAACAGAGCCTTGAAAGTGAGACCAAAGATAATCCCTCGCTATCACCAAGTTTCTCCTTCTCTGATCCCGGGTGTATCACCCTCCAGCTACCAAGATGAATATTCAGAGCACTTTGCTATTTTTGCTGTTTTGGAAGCACTGACTGTGGTACAGCCAGCAGCCGGACTGAATGACTTGTTGCTAACGCTCACAAATTAATCCCTGTGATATTTTTTCCCTACTCAGAGGTGTTTTTGTTGCTGTAAATTTGAATGCTCACCTAATTAAAAAAATAGTTCATATTTCCAATTGCTCAGTCAAAGCCTAGACCAAAAGTAGTTCATTTGCAGGGCACAAACATGGATTTTGTTTAAAAGAACCCCTGGACATCCCGATCTGCTAAGGGAAGCCACCAGCAGCACCACCCCTTGCAGTGTCCTGCTCTGGGACACTGCATGTCCAGCACCGAACTGCTGAGGTTCTGCGAGGTTTGTGTTCTTCCTTTAGCTGCTTGTCTCTGCTTTATGGGCAGGGAAAGATGAGACCGGAGTTCTAACTTACACTAAGGTTCCTCAACCAAGCCTGTATCCCAGCTCAGCAGAAGGCAGTGGTTTCCAGAGCCCTGTCCTGGAAGAGCCCCCTGGAAAGCTGTGCGCTTCCCTCCAGCAGCCCGGCACCCCGCAGGACCCAGCTGGGTCCGACAGAGGTGACAGGACTGGCACCCAGCCCTGCAGCCCCAACAGCCACACCGCCAGGAGCAGCACACTGAGATGTGCAGAGCCGTGTCCAGGCTCAACTCCTGTCACCCTTCTACATACACAGCACTGCTCAGAAAAGGCTGCAGCACAAAGAGGCCAAGTGTTTGATGTAACCATCTTTCCTAATATCTGTCAGATGCTGTGATTTGATATTTTACTGTTTGAGAAAGGCACGACCAATTCAGCCAACACCGCCAGTGCTGTTAATCATCCATGTGACAGATTGCCTCTCTGCTCCAATACTTTTAGTAGTAAATGCTGAGAGAGGTGAAAACTCCAAGCAAAAAGCCTGGCAAACCCATGCTGAACTCCCGTTGTGCACTGAGCTTTGCCTCAGGCGTTGTCCCTGTCTGTCCCCCCAGCTACCTCCCTCTCACCTCCACTTCCCGAGGTCCCTGGCTGTGCTCACCTGCGCACTGCAGCAGTCGGGGCCCTCAGGCTGCCTCGCATCCCGTTTGGTGTAAGTACCAGCCTGTTCTGTCACACAAGTGTACAGGGAAGAAACACACACGTGTGCACCAGGCAGCTAGAACCAAGGAACCTCAGGCAATAATCTGTGTCAGAAGATTATCGCTAACTTCACTACTGATTTTGTGGTTGCAACATTCACGATTACTTCCACTCACATAACACCTTCAACCCGAGAGATTGATTCATTCGACTCGTTTCTGAAACACCCTCCCTCCTTCCCAGGCTGCAGCTGTTCAACAGCCAGCCCAGCGTGCATATCCAAAGCAAACCAGAATGCACTCAGGCATATATTGTTAAAAACCAATATATAATATATATATTCGGCAGCACTAGATCTTGTCAGATTCTCATGAAGTATAATTAAGAGACCTAGCAACTGCTAGCAATTCTGTTTTGCAGGGCTATACTATGCAGTCTCTTAAACCCATGAAGTGCCTATCTGCAAACTAGGCTGCTATTTCTACACGAGCAGAAACGTAGAAAAAGGCAGGCCACTCGGTCATAGGGGGACAAGGAAGACTGGGACTGAGAAGGAGAAATTAGAGGGAAGAGGAGAGCAGAATCTGGCAGCCATAAAGCCAAGAAGGGAACCTTAAAGAAAATTTTGAATGCAGAGATGAAACATGGCTTAATGGCTCATTACTTTTTTAGGTTCTTAGATTACCTGGAGGATTTCAAGCCAACAAGGAGTTTTTTTCTCAAAAAAGATAAAAGAACACTGTCAGTCCATAGTTACTCTTCCATCTGGAGAAACAAACGATATGAAAATATCAAGAGGTACAGGTAGAGAACACAGTTTTCCAGGTACAAAGCTGAATTCTTCCCCATAAGATTAAGGGACAACACATCCCCTTCTGCAAGGCATGCTTTAGGAGGTTTGCATGGACACAGTTGATGTCATATCCAAAAAGTACACCATTTCCGTGCTGTACTATTTTGGGATCCAGCCCAGCACAGGAAAAAACACACCCAGACAAACAACAGTCAATAAGCCTCAGTACCTTGGTTTTAAATCTGGTGTTAACCTGAACCAACATTATTTACCTGGGAGCAGGTGACTGGAAATACCCATTGCTGCTTAGTGTACATTTGTTACCAATAGACAGTAACAGAACTAAAACCACTCTTTTGTTTGACTTGAAAACATTCTATTTAATTTATACAAATAACTACTAAATAGAAAAAGTAGATTAAAACAAAATAGTTATTTTTTTCTGGCAGAGTTTAAATGCATATTATATAGCTTAGAAGAAATAAAATGCATTCTCCCCACAGCATTCATGACCTAAAATTCTAGTTAATTCCTCCACTGCTTTCCTCTTCTAGATCAGTAAGATACTAGACACATTGTCATGTGGGTAACAGCTATATATATGTTCCATATTTGAACTGAAAATTGTTACAGACCACACACCTACAAATGTGAAGCACTTAAAATGTGACTATTGAGTTGTAATATGATAATACAGAAAACAATTATGTTTCAGGTTATAGTGTTACAAAAACATTTGTGTAAGAAATCATGAAAGAGGCCACATAAAAATAAGCTTTAACTTTATGCACTTATTTTACAGTTTAAAAAACTGGCAAGTGCACTAGTAATAAATAATTTGCAAGTTTTGTATAAACGAGAAATTCCTAATGTTCAGCATTATTGTAAACATCAGTACACATGTAAAATGCAGCTAAAATCTGACAGTTACATTTTCAGTTTACCAAATTCATTTCCTATTATTCAGGCATAGATCAATGTAGTATACAGCCAATCATATTTTTGGCAAGTCATGTCATTAAAATTAACAGTGACAGTGCAAGTAAGGAATGCAAAGAATTCCTAGTGCAATAAAGAAGAGAAGCACAGGCAATATTGCTGATTAAAATTTACCACTTCCATGTGTTCACCCTGGGAGTGATTAGGAGAATTAAAAAAAAAAGGGGGGGGGATAGGGGGGAAGTAGCTGTTCAAAGCCATTATTTAATGCCCTGATCTTGTCTTAGGATTTCTCTGTCTTCCTTCAGGCCACTACCTTTGCAACAGTACATCCAGCATGAGTCTTTATAGCTTGACCATTTGTGAAATGCCCATTGTAGTCACTGAGCAAAGTCCATATGGTTCTGATGTCTCCCAAACAGATGGCTTGGTAGAAACTTCTGCCTCTATAAGAAGCCACATGGGGACCAATTATATAAACCGTCTAGCCAGACTACTTCTGAACCAGACAAGTGCCTTCCTGTCAGGAGAGCACCATGAGAAGGTCAACAGTCAGCTTTCAGTTTATCTAAGGAATTATCAATTTTGGTCAAAGTCTTTTTGATTCGCAGGGCTGTTAGTCTTGCTGATGGATTTTGATACCAGCATTCTTTCATCAACTTGGCAAGAGATGTTAATGTCTGGGAAAAGAATAAGAAACACAAGACACTTGTAAGTATATAGATCACAAGTCAGAAAAGCAATAGATTGGGTTGTTAAGCACTACCACAATATGGTTTTATTGCCTCATTATTAGTCAATTTTCAGAGTCTACAGATAACTTACCGCTATTTGGGTATTTGAAATACACAAGTTTCAAGTGTTGAAAAGTAGTTCAATAACAAAAGAAAAAGTAACTAGACAATGGGTTGATTGCAGTGTCAAACTAGCATCATCTTTAAGAAGTCCAAAAAAAATGTTTTGAAAAACACTACTGAATCTTTTCAATGAAACTGTTTCCTACAAGGTTAATGATGAAAAGCCAGATCAGACATTTTTGTCTGATTTCATCACATCCAGAGCAGCTTCAAATGGCTGGGATTCAGAGCTGGCTGGTGTGGCAGCACAGGTCATGGCTCTACAACCAAAACCTAACATGAGACTTATCAGCAGTGCAGGCCCCAGCCAGATTCAAACCAAGCTCCACAGCTTCAGAAATAAAGAACACAACAGCTGGTCAACCTGAGGACTCCAGACTAATTCTGTTGAAGAAAAATATGTTTCAGCAGCAGCCTTTCAAAAACAGTCCCTTAGCCTGTAGGCAGGAGAGGGATCAAAATTCTGTTGTAAATCTGCATGCTTACGAGTCACAGGAAGGCTCCCTTTCAATTTCAAGTGATAACTGGAAATAGCTTGCGTGACTACAGTTCAGAAGAAGAAAGATCAGCTCATATCTTCTGCAAACCATACACAGGCACTTACAGGGTCTGAGAACCACCTGTTGGGAATGTTCGGCCTTTGCTGATCTACACAGACCACTTTTCTCATGTCTTCAAAACTGGGATCATTTGGGACCAGGTCATAAAATGGAGGTTTATAGTCTTCTACAATACCTAGTGAGATACAAACAAGAGAGGCATTATTTACTAACTGTCAATGAAACAGCATCTCTGCAAAGAGAACACCCATGACCTAACCACCCAAGAAGCACAATAATATTTTCAAAATAAATCAACACCACCATGTCAAACTGTCACAAAAAAAAAAAACAGAATAGCACTACCACAGAAGAGTTTTTCCTACCCAAAATGTTAATTGGCACATACTATAATACTGAAGATTAGAAACCATATCCATTTTGCAGATGCTTGAGCTGCAGTGATGAGAAATAAATTCACTTGCCGCAAGGCCACTTTCTATAATGCACAGAAGTTTAGCGACTACTAGAAAACAGGGATTTCTACTAGCAAAGTACAAAAGTTTCCAGGTCTGCATTGCTTGTTTGTTTTTAGTAGGCTCATCATACACTTTGTCTTATTTTATGATTCATGACCAAGTCCAAAAAGGACACCAGTACCCACAGTCACTAAACACTGGAAATTCACGTACAATTTCTTGTTATATACATGTAGTAAAATGCCTAGGGTACAACACTAGTACAACATACCATCACAAAACCAAACACCTGGAAGTCTGTGGCAACCAGTATCTGAATGGACTTTCACAGATTCTACTTTGAAAAGTGAGGAAACAAAAAGCTGATGTGTGTGCTCCCAGCTTATCACCCAGGTTACACAGAACTGGCAGGCTAGAAAGCCTTTTGCCTACTCAGTGAGGCATGTGTGCAGCACTGCTGTTTCATCGGTGGATTAAGCTCACAAATGATCCAGGGAACTCAACTTTCTTAGGAAGCCAATTTAACAACTAGTGTTCAAAGACAGACATTTGGGCCAGCAGCTCGGAGAAATACCGAGTGAACGAGGCTCGCTGCGTACTGCAGGAACATGGGCAGAACAACGCCAGAACTGCCTTTTAGCAGATGGCAGCTGTCCTATCCTCAGATGCACAAGACATTCGGGACATTTTCTGAGAACCTTTTTTCTACTTCAGAATATCCAAAGAAATAGAAACTTTGCTACAGTGGTTGGGATTTAGTTTCTTGTTCTGTTGAAGATGAAGATCAAAATCCCATAGGTTCTCTGTAAAAATCAGTAAATCCCTACCTGAGAAGACTGGTCAAAAGAGAACCGGTCTTCAACAAATGCAGCTCACGTAAGGAATTGGAGGTCAGTTCAAAGATCTGACTGCCCAAGCAAGCTACCAGAACGAACACCTCGACTGCAGGGATTGCCCTGTGGTGTTCTGACAGGGACACAGGACAGACTGCCTATGCTACACGCTGCATGAAGCAGCATCACCTACGCTTTCAAGCAATTCTTAATTGCATATACTGAACATCATCTAGAAGGCTGAAATCTTAGTTTTACACTCCTCCTGCTTCCTCCCAGAACACAAAATAAAACTTACTGCAAGAACTTGAAGCTACAAAAAAGCTCTTGTGTATCTGTATCCTCTGAAATGGTAGAAAAAGTAGTAGTGTTTTTTTTCTAAACATAAGTCAAATGCAAAGCTTCAGAGCTACATCATACAACTCTGAAAGTGATGCCAGGGTCATTAAGACATTAATGGATTACCTTTATCACTAGGAGAGAGTCCAGCTCTATTTTAATTCACTACATTCATGTGGTCTTTCCAACAGAGTAAATCGATGGCTACTTCAGATAAGACATAGCACATACGAACTGAATTTGGTCTAGCCTTTACTCTAATAGAGTAGTTCTGAAGTACTCTGCTCTACCACAGCCAAACATCACAGACCCTGTGGGATCCCCACTGGCTCTGCAACAGCTTGTCTGCTATGCCAGCAAGCCACTGTAACCTCTAGCCCACACTGCTCCTCACAGAATTGTCGTTCTGAACTGTGACACGCTTCCCTTGCCCACTTCCAGAGGAAAGAAAACAAGCCTCTTACTACAAGAGAGACCCTGAAAGTTGTTCAGCATGACCTATAGCTTGCTATTTTCTGGACAGTTTCAAGATGACTTTTGTCATTGACAATAGGGTGTTGTGTTTTTTTCCCTGGGGCAGCTGTCTTCTTGCTATTCAAATCAATTGGACCTCAGAGCAGCATTTTTTCCACCTTTATTCTTTACAGCTTTAATGAAAGCTTATCCTATGCACTTTTGAATACACTGCTGGAGCAATGTAAGACCTACCCAAATACCTCAGTAGCAGATACAGCCTTGCAGACATCATGCTGATAACATACCAGGCGTGGCTTTGAGCAGCAACCACCTTTCAGTCTGTGGTATTAACATCAAGGTCACAGTACTGGAAATGACACTGAAGGTCCACAAGGAACTGAAGCGTGTGTGTGTCAGAGGCCAGGTAAGCAAAGATGCCCCAGCACTGTACACTAGGACAGGCACATACCCAGCAGCAGTGGACAACTGCTCTGCAGAGAACAAGCACTGCTCAGAGTGAGATGTGTGGGGCTTCAATCCCACTTCTGAGTACAGGGAGAAATGTGGAGGGCCCCGACGCAAGCACAAAGACAATGCACACACAAGTACTCCTGGCTGTGGAGGAGCTTAGTAACACATTAAACTCCACAACAGAAAAGTATTAAGAATCACCGTCACCTTGCAGACCATTAGACAAAAGCAAGCCAGCTTCACTGGGCAGATTACAGCAACTTCAGAATCTCCAAGAATGGATCTGCAAAACCAGGGTGACTCACAGGAACAGACTTTGTCTTTCCACTCAGAACATGATAGACAGCAAGTATCCACCAGCATAGGATGAGCAGCAAAATGTATAGTGTCTCTTGCCCATCTAACACATGCTATCACCTGGTTCACACGAGCACACTACCTTGACCTCAGCGTGCTCACTCCAAGTGCCAAAGTCTTATTACAGATCAAACAGGGTTATCTGAATGACCACCTGATGAAGTAACGATTTCCACACAGCCAGCCATTTGGATTTTTGAGAGAAAAATGTTTACTTCACCTCAAACCAGTGCAAGGAAATGAAATTACTTCTGGCAACAGCTAGAAATACAAAACAACTGCAAACAAGTACGGTTAAATTAGTAGCACATTCGCCTTAAACTTAAGACTTTATTGACATGACTAATGTCATGAAGTATCCATATTACTGTTAAAAGCGCTTCCATGGTAGCACCAAGCTCAGTCTGAATTAAATTACTGAAGCCTTTATTTATCTTCTTTGGTAGGTCTGCAGCCCATGCCGAGTTTCATACTATCTTTGTTAAGCTGTAAACACAATCTAACCCTCACTAAGTAGCACTATATATATATATCAATAAATATATTGGGAATATTTAAATATGTGCCCTTTCGTGAAATTTTCATTTTGAGACGTAACTAGGTAAGCCTGTGTGTTATCTACCATACACACACACACACACTATACAAAAAAAAAATTAATAGATGAAGAGTAAGACATCTAATATTCCAAAAAGGTTCATCAGCCTCCAAAACAGCACTGTAGCAAAGCAGATTTCAGATGAGCTCCTCAAAATTTAAGGCTAGCAATAAAAACATATCAAAATCTTACGTATGGAGTTTGGTCATGATGTAGACTGCTAGGTTCAAGCAGAAGATGTGCTACACGGTGCCCACCCAGGAGCACGTACCCCTTTAGGTACTGTTGGTCCCACCACTCTCACTTAGGAACACCATCCCCCAGATGACAGCAGAGGAGCACAGTGCACGCGCTCATCTCGTGCACTGGCTCCCACCCTTGTAGCAGGGTATTACAGTGAATTCATCAGCCCCTGTCCTACCACGGCAGCTGGCAGACCACAGACTGCTGAAACAGGCAGAGCACAGAACACAAAGCTGCACTGAGAACAATGAAGTTATGGCTCACATCCTCAAGGCACTCCGACTGACATGAACTGCAACCCAGAGGTTTCCAGATATTGGGAAATGCAATCAGCAACGCTTTGTAACTGCCTACAACATACATTTGCCAATGAACAGAATACAGAAAAATTAACACCATGAATTCACAGGGCTTTCCTCCTTTCTCCAATTAACCACATACACCTTAACGTGAGGTCGTCATCCCTCTCTGTGATTCAGCTGACATGTTCTTGCACCTCCTCTTGCTGCATCCCTCTTCAAGGAACTCCTCTGCTGGGGCAGTAAGAAAGGTGGCAGGATCACAAAGCTATGCTCTGGCCACAGACACAAAGCCTGTGGATGTCCCCTTCTGCTCCCAGTGTCACTCCTAAGGCTTCACCCAGGAGCTGCACACTATGGACCCTGCAAGTTAAACCCCAAACAGCTGTCTAGCCACACAGATTAACCTGGTCTTTTGATTTCAGAGGAGAATCTATTTTAAATCACTTTAGAATTATTGACAGCTTATAAGGATGCTTCAATTAGCCTGCTGAGCCTACCTGCTGCATTTTACAACCTCTAAGTCAGCTTTGTTTAAGCACCTTTTAAATATCCTAGAGAAGACAGGTGCTTGGGACAGAGCTTGAGTTCCCAGGGAGCTTCCTGGCAAACTTGGAAGGTCCACAGATCTTCTCAGAAGTGCCTCCTTCCAAGGGCCTGCCTTCTCAAAACAAGGCTCACTGCAGTGATGGAGACAACTAGCTGCTTGGTGGCTGCTGTACTGAAACCTTTGGGAAAGGAATAATACTTTATTTTTTTAAACTCATGGGTAAATTATTTTAGCCACCAACAAATAACATGAAATGAAAGGCTTGTATTTAACAGTCCTGTATTATAACAGAGCAACAGTATGTGCTTGCTGCTAGAGAACCTACATGCTCCCTGGAGTCCCACGAGACAGCAGCTGGGCAGGATTTCCACTGGCTTCAGCAAGCAGAGGGGAGATGGTGCCCAAGAAACAACATGGAGCAAATAACTTCCTCTGGCATTGGAGCCAGGCTTTGTTACTCTGCATTAGCTACCACGAGTCTTCACTGCCATGGCTTAGGGCAGCCTACCCCATGCACTCAGTGCTCACTCATACCCATCTCTCCTGCAGCAAAAATGCTTCCTCTGTCCCCTCTGGCTCTTGGCAGGTGCCTTCTGAGAACATCTGCAAGGAAACCTTAATCCTCTCCTCTACAGTCTTCCCTCAAATTCCTACTTGCAATAGTTTCCTCAAAAAGATGCCACAAACCACTGCCTGCCATTCTGACCGTGCTTCCTTCGTTGGGGTTCGTGCTTGGACCAGCTGGCACAGGACATCTGCACTGCGGGGTTCCAGCCACCGGGATGGTTTCAGACACGCCACAGGAACACAACCAAACAGTCATCTTTCCTGAAGCAGATTTTTTTTTTTGTCTGATGTCAGTTATGGAATCCCAGTTTTGGCTTACATGGGAGTAATAGAAGTAATGAACAAATATGAAGATTCAGAATTTCCTCAGATTTAAACATGTTACAATTAACAACTTGTCGCTGCTGACATCTGCACATGTGCCTGAGGGACATCTTCTGAGTCCCCAGAGAACAAAACCCGAGGAACAAAACTCAGACAGGACTGCTATGCTGACGAGGACAAGAAAAACCGCACCAGCAGATACCCAGCTTCAAGGTTCTTAAATTCAGATTCCTTGGCAATGAAATAATGCAACACCGTGCATTACAGAACAGAAATTTCAAGACCGCTTTTTCAATCAGAATTGTGCTTCAACCAAATCCTGCTTTGTGAGTCTGTTTAACTTGGTAAATCAAGAGCATCCCTGAGTGCTGATCACTTTACTACTTAACTTTCTACATGTCTTCTTTCTCTGTTCCATAGGTATTGTCATAGCAAATAGACACCTAGAAGCATTCACTATGGTTTAATGGCACACAAAAGTTCAGAGATGGGTCTAAAATTTTAGCTCAACTATTTGAGATAAATTGTTTCTTATCATTATTTCAGCTTTAGCAAGGGACTCTCCTTCTCTTCCTTGAAAGAAGTGAGGCAACAATACTTCATCTTGGTACCCAACTTCAATTCTGAAGAGGCAGCAAAACGTCAGGAATATAAATATCTTGGAGGTCCAGTATTTTGCTGTACAGTCTATGTATTTCAGTGGCAGACGTTTTGCAGTGAATGATTTGCTTCATACACTTTAAAAACAAAGACAGGAGTCCTAGATACTCACCATTGCTAACCATGCGCCTAGCTACTTCCCAGAGGACCAGCCCAAAAGCCCAGATGTCGACCCTTTTGTAAGAGTCGAAGCAGTCAGCCTGGATGGTTTCGTCCAAGACTTCTGGAGCCATATAGCGTTTGGTGCCCACACGGGGATTGTTCCCCACATCCAACTGATTCGTGCTTTGGGAGTGCATAACTGCAAGGCCTGAGCAACAGAAAGACACACACAGTTAAATCCCCTTCAAAGCTGCACATTTAAAATTGACTGCGAGCACTGACACCCATCAGACAGTTTCTTAAAAGGAAGGAACTGAGAGTCCAACCGTCCAAAGATCAACTGGGTCAGCTCCAAACCTGCTGTCAAAAACAGCCACTGTGTCCACAGACTTGGCCCAATTATCTCCTAAGGGATTACCATTAAGCATGTTATTGCACTGTTGCAAAGTGTTATTATAGGAACTGAGTGTTTTGCAGCCACTGGATGTCACCGGCGCTCTAGGCACATACATGCAGAAGGCCAGGCATCTGTTACTTAGAAGAAAACAATTTCACCCAGCATTCAAATTTATTTATAGAACTTTTGGGTAGGCGGTTATAACCAAGCTGTGGGGAAAAGAAGAAAAACACTGCATGATGGATATACGCAAGTTAAAAAAATAAAGCTGAAAAATAAAACCCACCATATTTGTAGTAGCTTGAAAAATAAACATCCTCAAAGTGATCTAAAATGAGTCAGTCAAAACCACTCTACCTGGTTTCTACTAATTACCAAACATTTAAGCAAAGAACATTATGTGAGGGACTAAATTACTGTAAATTTGGAAACACACAAAGTACTCATCTTGCCATGGTAAACAGAGAGCACTGCAAATTGAACAGCAACAGGTGCATGACATAACTAAGCAATGGGAAAGAAACAGACTCTGATTTCCTCAACAACTCTTGTAAGAGGGACATATACTATTTACATTTAACATGACTTTATTTTAGATGAAACTTAAGCTTTTACTTCAGTCCCACAAAGCACTAAGCTATCTACTATACAGATTGTATTTCATAGTAACACGATCTGGACAACTCTCTCCTGCAATTTAAATGCCCTTCAGATAATTTCAGGTTGCTAAGAAAATGCTCATAGCACTTCTAGAAAGATACCGTATTTTTTTTTCCAATCCTGAATATGTACTTATTATTATACATACATATGTATATTTAATCTTCCACACTGGAAACAGAGGTTAGAAAAAGAGTTCCCAGCAAACTCTGAACATGTCAAGACTCTGGAGAACTTTTGTTAAAAATCGTAATGCTCCATCCAAATTGGGCAAAACAGATCCAATAAACTGACAGGTCAAAGGTTTAGGGCTGAGGGATGCAAGTCAGCATCCTGTACGCTACAAACCAAAAGTGTTGCAACAAGGTCAGGGGACAACCATGTTGTAATCAGGTTCTCATCATGGTGGCATCCATGCTGCTGACAAGTTAGGAAGCAGATATTGCACTGCTTCGTTTTCCTTTCACCTCAGGAGATGTCACTGCACATTTAAAACAATGGGGCTCTTGTTGTACAATAACACATCTCTGGGGGAAAAATTGTCAGGGATACGTATTAAAACACATTGTTTTCAGGATGGCGGACGAATCACCTTTAGCATACTGGAATATCTTCCAGAAACAGAAATCGAGCAAATGTATTTTATTAGCATTCTTTGCATTGTCCTTACAAATGCTATACAAATACCAGCTCTTGCTTCAGCCTGATGTTCATGTCTCTAGGGGGGAAAGTCATGGTGGAATGGAAGGAGGGAGTAAAAAGAGGGTTGAGCTTATTTTTCTTTGTATACAAGCCTTATTCTGCCATTTCTCAGTAAGACCTGCTACCATACACATGAATTGCTTTACAAGCAGAACTGACTAACTACAGGGCAGAACTTCTCCAGGTCTATCAGTGGTCACAGACTGAAGTGAGGCTGACATCTATCCTTGGACTTTATCACAGGTTCTGTTTAGCTAGGACATATCTGAAACAGACAGTTTTGTAACTGCAGCTCTGGATGCTTGGGGTGCTGTTGGAGATGCAAGCATCCAGCTCGGTGCTGAAGGACAAGCAGAGCAGCCAATTCACAAAGCTCTTGCGTTTACTGCCAGCCACAAGGACTAGGACTGAATGGCAGCAAACACCAAGCACCAGAAGTGGAGCATCTGAACTGCAGACAAAGTCATACTCCAAACAGCAGACATGTGTCAAAGCAGTTTTATTCCTCAGTTTTCCAAACCAACACATTCTTAGTGGGTATATCGCAAATCCAGAACCTGGGGTGACTGACAGAACCAAGTCCAGCTTAGCTCTGGGCAGCTGTAGTGAGTCTTTATGTGCTCTAATCAGTCTGTAAGCACTGATTTTTTCTTTAATAGCCCATTTGTTGAAACAGAAGAGAAGGCCACCAGAGAAGGAGAAAAAAGACAAAGCTATAGAGGAAAAAAGGGCATGAATATATCCCAGAAGCAAGAAAAACCTTTGTTAAATCTTCTCCTTACACATAAGTAACAAGTAAAGACTGCATCACAGGAGCATAAGTTTTCAAGTTTAAAAAATATATATTTTATCATAAAAACTAAAACAGGAAACATTTATGGCTGTACTATCTCAGAAAATCTCTCCTATTTCTGATAAATGTAGTAGGAGGGCTACAAAGATGCTCAGAGGGCTGGAGCACCTCTCCTATGAAAAAAGGCTGAGAGAGCTGGGGCTGTTCAGCCTGCAGAGAAGGCTCTGTGGAAACCTCATTGCAAACTTTCAGTACTTAAAGGAGTCTTATAAAAAAGATGGAGAAGGACTCTTTACTTGGGTAGGTAATGGTAGGACAAGGGGGAATGGTCTTAAACTAAAAAGACAGATTTAGACTAGACATTTCGAGGAAATCCTTCGCTGTACTGCTAGCAAGACACTGGAGCAGGTTGCCCAGAGAGGCTGTGGGTGCCCCATCCCTGGGGGTGTTCAAGGCCAGTGCAGATGGGGCCTTGGCCAAGCTGACCTAATGGGAGGCGTCCCTGCCTATGGCAGGGTGTTGGAGGTAGATGATCATTAAGATCCCTTCCAACCCAAGCTATTCTACGGTTTTACATGATTAGCGTGGTAACAATCAATGCCAGTTATGCTCTAGCCTCTTTTCAGTGTGAATTATGAATTAGAAGCCAGTCTGTGAAGTTTTGCATTTTTCAACATACACCTCCATTATTATTATTATTATTTTTAATTTACTGTTCCCCCTGCAAATTTAGATAGGCTAGCCCTCTGTGGCTCAGATGTGTGGCATTTATGTATTTCCTGGGTGTTCATGTCCCACAGGAATTATTAATCGGAATGAACATTCTTGCAACTCTTCTCAGCATCCTACCCACTTAAAAGCCTAAAACCAGCCGGTCAAAGGGACTTCAGTTCTGGACTCACTGAATTACCTGGGGAAAGGCTCTAGCTAGACAGATGCCATTAAGACCTACAGAGCTTGGCACAGTGAGTGCATGATGCTTAGACATCAAACAGGAGGACATTTACTTCAGAAGCAAAGCGAACCCTAACAACTGCTACGTGCAGAAATCCATGAATGGCATTCAGCAACTAAAACCCTCAGAACAAGTCAAAAACAATGCATTTATTTCTGAACTCAGATGCTGTACTGAGCCTCTTCAGTAGCAGTGGCAGCAGAGCAGCATCTCTAAGTTGTAAGTGCCATCTAGCGGCTGTTATAATCCTGCAGGGTAACACCAAAAAAGATTATTTTAAGGTTACTTCAAAGCTTTTCAGGTTGGAGTTATCTAATATATTTATAATTACATTACTGCAGAAACACAGAGTATATTAGCACTGGAATGAACTCACCTAGATCTGCTATGCAGCACTGTCCATTTTTCTTGACAAGGATATTTTTGCTCTTCAAGTCCCGATGAGAAATGGCAGGCTTCCCCTGGGTTCCAAATATCTCAATGTGCAAATGTGCAAGACCACTAGCTATGGACAGGACTATTCGCAGGCAGCTGACAGTGTCCAGGGTAGTGAGCTGCAGATAGTCATACAGAGACCCCATTTCGTGGTAGTGGGTAATTAACCACAGCTGGGTACTAGAGTTTCTGGAAGTCATATCAGATGCAATAAAACCTTAAAAAAAAAAAGGAAGAAAAAAAAAGATGACAGTTCCTTCAAGACTCTCCTAAGAAAAGAATCAATACTACTAGGCCTGTCCTGTAATTTAAAACTTAATTTAATTAAAACTTGTCCTCCATCACACTGCACTGAAAACAGACTGCAGGTTATTACCATGATGGAAAGAAGATGATTTATTCTGGAACTAACTCAACCCTACACACAAGAATATCCATATCCTATTTTTTCAGTCACACCAAACAATTACTTGCCAGGACCACATACTTGAAAAAAGTTTTTAAAACACATTTGTTTTTTGTTTGTTTGTTTTCACTCTCCCTCCTTCTCTTCCCTTCCAAAAGGCTTGGCAGGTTTAGCTTCCAGTTAAACAACGAAACCACCAGGTAGTAGCAGCACATCTGCTGTTGTCCACTCAACAGGATTACACTGCAAAGCAGCAATACAATTTCATTTCTTATTCAAGGACAAGAAGTAGCCAGCGTAAGCTTCTGAGAAAAGGTTTAAAAGTGTTTCGTGTAAGCTTCAAATCTCAAACAGGCAACGTATGTTGTTCCAGCTTCACATTTACATTCAAGGTGAGTCTCTGGAGCACTTCACCCATCAGCCTTCACGTGTCAGAAGCTTACTGTCCCTACAGGAAATGGCACACCCTTCAAATCAAACAGATTGAACAGAAGCACGTCTCACCACAGCAACAACTTCCACCCCAACGATCTGCTTGTTTAAAAGGCCACACAGGGATGGCTGCAGCCTGACCTCTGAGACTGCTCCAGCCTCCAAATGCCTGATCTCCTTAACTGCACACCGGCTCACAATGGAGCTGCAGAACACGGAGCAGCAGATGGCTAAGGAGAGCTTGGCAGCACCAGGAGATTAGCACAGCAAAAATAGCAGTAGCAGCAGCTCTACTGCAAAGCAGGGTGCACATCACTGCCACGGGGAAGTAAGGCAGAGCACCTTTACCCCGCACAGCTGTATCTCAGTGATTTTCTAGAAAGGAAGAAAGGAATTTCTTTTCTAAGCCCATGAACTGTCTTAAAACTGAACGTAATGTTCAGGTGTAGCTCCCTTCCTGGTACCTCTGGATTTGTGGACACACACTGTTGGTCTCAACAGCTTTAGCTGGGAAGCAGCCGAAGTTTTACTCTCAAGACAGAGAAACAAATCATGTTTATTAAAAGCCCACATATGACATTTGTCAGAAAGAACACCCACCACTTTCTCTCCTAGAAGTCAGATTTCTCTACAATGTGACACTTCTGTAATCCGTGATATTGTTTAATATTGCATCTAAAAAAATTCTATAAAATAGCCAACAAATTTGACAGTTATCAAGAAAGACTGAACACAAACAGAGGAACATGGGAAGTGTGTAACGTAATTTCAGCCAAGTTAGTTGCTCTCTGGGGAAGGAAAGTTCAATAACTCACATTTCAGGAGGCCACTAAGTTATTTTTGTAGTAACAAAGGAATTGCTTCAGGAAACAAACAAACATCTAGCAGGGTAAGCTATAGAGCCAAGGAATATTCTCAGTCAGGAAACAAGAAGAAGGAGCCCAAGTAAAACTGACTGAAGTAAGACAAATTGTGAGCGAGGTAAAGCCAGTGAAGAGAAGACAAGGTGTTACTGTTATTTGTAAGGCTGGCACACCAAAGAAGGTTGTCTCTACCAGGAATCAAAGTGGCTACTTAAGCTTCAGCCAGGGTTAACACAACAAAAGCAGCCCTTTTCTAAGCTCCTGGAACTGAGCACACGAGGTACTAAGGATGCAGATTAAAAATCATCGCACGTTATCTTGTTTCCTTGCAAGTACATATTGAAGTTTAAAATGCAATTATAGTTTAAATTAAACACCACAGGTTACTTACCAGTTTGACCCAATCTCTGTGCAGAACAGTTGCATTAAGCAGAGAATAATGAATTCATACCACAGTTTATTCAGGCACAAGGAAAAAGATTCAAATATTTAAGTCCCCTTGTAAACTCCTGCCCACTCTTTCTCCCAGTTAAACTAAAGTTACAACAGAATCAGATCCACTAGAAGTTTTCCACCTACGTACTGCACAACACCTTACTTTGCCATTTTGCTTCCCCACAACAAGAGCTGCAAGGCTGAATTCTTAGCATGAGGGTCTGTGGCACCTCCCTTCATCTCTGCATCCTATGCTGCCAACAATGAGTTAGTTGATCTCGCTGATCACCTCCTGCAAGACTGTTTCTGCAGAAGGACAATGAATCATGGCTGCTGAGACACTTCGTTATGGGACGCAGATTTTAGCACCTTCCTGCAAGTCTCCCCCCTTAAAAATTTTCCTTCAACCATTTAATGCAAATACAGGAGGCAACTCCTGAAGACTGCAAGATATGTGACAAATTTGCAGTACTTTACAAGTTAACTGTTAAATTACCTTTATGAGCAACATAAATATGGTTGTGCTACTCACCTAAAATGTTCTCATGCCGCAGCAATACAGTGTTGTACAATTCAGTTTCCCTGAACCAGGATTTTTCATCCCTAGAAGAGAAGATCTTCACAGCAACATTTTCTCCTTGCCACTGACCCCTCCAGACTTCTCCATAACGTCCCTTTCCTGGTCAGCAAAAAAACACAGTAATTAACAGTTGTGAACTATAAATCCTCACAGGACCGACTGGGTGAATTTAGTCTAAGTGACAGCACCACAAACCTTAGTATTCGTTGCCATCCTTTGCCTTCTATAATATTAACAGGACAATACATAAAGACACTATGCCATTATACCCAAACAAGGTTCTAACAAGCATGAGCTTGCTGGCAGTATGCATAAATACTTAGGCACACGTACACACGTGTGAAATACCATGTGTGCTATTTGTAGCACAGCTGAACAAGGCTACAGGACACATAGCTAACATTTTATTTTCTCTACAACCCAACATAATTGCCTATTTGCCTCTAAAATTTTCCACAATGCATTGTGTGCAATAATTCCTTTTCCACTTTGTCTAGAAAGAAAATAGCACTTCACACACAATTCCCTGAAGCAAGGTTACCTCAGCCTCATGATGCTGAGAGCCAATAAATTTATACAAATATACCAATGAATTCTGAAGTTAGGAGGACAGAAGAAACGCATACACACACACACACCCCACAGACCATAACCAAAACATCAGTCAGGTGGGGATCAGCACACACTGTCTGCACGCCAAGCAAATAGTTTAAAATAATATATGAAAGTATTAAATGCCCATCAGCAAAGCAACATCCCGCAGCAGGCACAATGGAAAAGTTTCTGCTCATCATCATCTTCATGGCAGCTGGAATACAACAGCCTGAGGGCTCACATGCAATGCATTCTGTCGGATTTGACAACTATAAACATCCAAATTCTGCCCATCATCGCCGAGCCATTCAGTGTTCCTTAAGGCACGTATCAATAAGCAGCAGATAAAACCAACTGAACAGAGATACCCATCACTTGATGGCTCAGTGCTGTCAACCCCAAAGAGAATTCCTGCACAGGCACTTTTATCTCCTCCTGCTATATAGGCTGAAGCATGCGGTCTCTGGAAATACCGCCAGCCTGAGTTACCTCAGGAGCAGGCATAATTCCACGAGCAGACAGACAGACAGACACACACACCTCCATACTGCAGGCTAGGTAGCTCTTCAGATAATCGTGCATATCATAATCCACAGTTTCTGATGAGAAGTTATACAACAACCCAGGATGTACACTAGGATTTAATGCAAGTGTGAACACATGTGCCTACTCACTATCTACCAGGAGCCAGAAGCCAAGAGACACTGGCAAAATGTAGACCAAGTCTCTACAGACTCACCACAATTCAGTCACTGTAGTCTCAGGCTTAATTTAAGACCCTGACAAGTTCAAACTTTTAGTGACTTACAAGAGTGTCTTAAATGCTTCCAAATTCAAGTCACTGAAGAAGCAGCATAAAACATTTAAAATGTGGTGTTTTTTTCCCCCTAATAGAATCAACCATTATCACACCTCCTCCATCTCTCTTGCACCAGCACAGCATCAAGGCTCAATGTCGCAGCCTTGGGACACCTTTGACCCAAGTGCTTCCTAAAAATACTAAGTTCAATTTTAACACTATTCAATTAATACACACATGCTGAAGAAAAATGTAGTAGACCCTTAAAGTTAACAGTAAAGTTCTGCCAAAAAAAAAAAATGACTCAAAAGAGTTTTAGGGAAGAATTACTAGGAATTATTTATTCTTAATTAAAAAAAAAAAAGATCTGCTCTCTTTTGGGAGGGATAGACAAGCAACAATACATCATTGCACACTCCCAAAGCAACACTGCAGGGCAAGTAAGCTACGGAATATATCAGAAAGACAGATATTTTGGAACTAATATTTAATAGTATCAAAGTCCTTTTGAAACCACTGTTAAGAGTGGAAGGCTGCAGCAAGGATCATCAGAGACACAAGCCAACTCTAACTCTGTAGCCTACGTAAAATGAGGGTTTGGTCCCATAGCTCTAGGATCCTTGCACAGGAACTGAAAGTCAGGACCCCCGATGAAGTCAGGATGGTGAAAACTGCCTTTTCCTTGACTCCCAGTTGTCAGAACATTCACAAGGAGTACAAGTGTCACCCCACTTACCAAAAAGAAATATATCCTGTAAGCTGAAGCATGAAAAGTTTCACATTATACACAACTGAGAAAACAGCAAGTTAGGATACAAGATAGAGTTTTCTACCTGCATTTGTTAGCAAGACTCAGCACTAGACACGAACAAGACTTGTACTAACCTACACACTCTACAAGCGTGATCTGGCGAGCCACCGTCCTTTGCACCAAGAAAGGAAGTCCAGAACCACTTCCAGATGTGCAGGAATGGTCCAATAAATCCTGTTCAAAAGAAAGAATCAGAAGATGAAAAACAGGGTAATTCCATGTTGTAATTTAAATATACAAAGGTAAATCTCTTCACAGGACAGCTTAAGTTATAGCTTATTGGTATCTCCATGTCTCTGGTGATACAACTTGGCCACTCGGGACCAAGATATACTGCTGCCACCACTGTACAGATGGGCAGACAACACTCTTCACAAGGTTTCACCATCAGAGAGACCATACTGTGCACAAAGAAGAAGAGAAGGGGACCTACAACTTATGTATAACCAGTTTCTCTTGGAAATCTTATGGACAACAAGGAACAGCAAACAAATTAAGCCTTGTCTCATTCTCAGATTTCTATCTTATTTTGCATTACAGCACAATTTCTTTCCAAACAAGCTTTGTTTGTTTTAAGAATTAACATTTACTGCCTGTGAACCTGGAAGCTCACTTACAGCATACAAACTATCCTCTATTAGGAGATTCTGCTCTCACTTTTTTCAACACTTTGTCCTTTTACTTAGCTTATGGCGATCTCTTGACCCTGTATGTCACTGATCTGTCAAAGAAAAGCACCACTTGCATTTGAACATGCACGCAGACTTCTCCCATTCTTCCAGTGCCCCTAGATTTCTCCCTGTTAACGAGGACTAGCAGGGCACAGCACCACGAATGTGCTTTTACTAAATCAGAGCTCAAGCCATGTCCCAGCCCTACTGATCCAGGGTATTAGGGGATTCTGTCTGCTTTACGCATCCTTGTGAATAGACATGCATTGGAAAGACACTGAGAACTTTTTGCTTAACCACTTTGCTCACCCTCAACCAGAGAGCAGCAGAAGGCTTCCACGCAGAAGCTGCTCCGCCAGGTGGCAGCCCCCAGCACCCAAAACTGAAACCCTCCTGGAGGGGACATGGCCAAGAGACCTGAAGGAGCGGGTGAGTGTGCACAGTAGCCCCGACATGGCTGTGCACACGCAATCCTCCCCAGTTCTGGGGAGGGGATTTACAAGAAATACAGTGCACACTGGTGCAAAGCTGAGTTTCAGCCAGACCAGAGCAGAAGGAAGCTCCAACAGCAGAAGGCCGGGGCAGCAACCACATCCCTCTGATGAATTTCAAGTCCCCTGCAAACTAGAACTTTGTTTTTTTTTTTTGTTTGTTTGTTTGTTTTTTTAATTCAACTAGTTTATTGTAATTCTCCTTCATTAAAACAGCTGAACCACAGCAGATGAACACACCCTCAGAAAAACTCATCCTGTAGTAGATAAATCATGGAAGATTTATCATTAACTTATCAGTTATCATTTATCACTAAATCATTAGGAAGAAATTCTTCACTCAGAGGGTGGTGAGGCCCTGGAGCAGGCTGTGGGTGCCCCATCCCTGGAGGGTTCAAGGCCAGGCTGGACTGGGGCCCTGGCAAACCTGATCTCGGGGGTGGCATCCCTGCCTATGGCAGGGGGGTTGGAACTGGGTGATCTTTAAGGTCCCTTCCCTTCCAACCCGAGCCATTCTGTGATTCTGTGGAACGTTTTGGCCCACACTATTCAAATCTGACATAGTTATGAACAACTGAGAAGGGCTTTTGAAATCAACAAGGTGATGGGACTGTTACCCTATTACCTGTATCACATACACGAGACGTGCAATTGATACTCCACAAAATCTTTCATGACTTCTTATGAGTTTTATCACTTTCTAGTATTTTTAGTGCATGGAAACCAGACTTTAAGGTGTAAGCTCAAAGAACATGAATAAGATTCTGATTGAATGTTAAAATCTTATTAACCTTTTAAGTGCTAATACCCAGCTACTTTTAGAGCTGTACTAGTTCAAAGCATTAATAACTGGGTGCCCTGCATTACTGGGCTTTTTCTTTAAAAACAAAAATAGGATAGAAAAGCATAAGCATAATCAACCGTAACATTCCCAGCAAACTGCACTACCAGGCCTCAGCTAGATCCCATGAAATCCCATTCCTCCTAACAATTTTTTAATGAGTGCTCAAGAACAAGATCGTTTAAGAGTGACTGGAGACTGCTATTTTGTTTTCTAATGTGAACTGAGAGCTCGTTTTCCTTCCTGCTTGTATCAGGGAGAGACAAAAACTTATCTACAACAATGACTGTAAAAACAAGATTTCAGGAGGCCCCCGCTCTTCACATTCTGCATTAGGAAGCTTAGGGCTGTATTCATTGGGCTATGGAGACTAATCCTACATGTAAACCAACCTGATGTGTAATAAAACTAGAGATTTAAAGCACACAATGGAGAAGAAAAATCTTGACCAAAGACTTAGATGATGTTTAGATGAACATTTACAGACAAGAAACTATCAATTTTTTATTTTTTTAAACACATCAACACCCAAGAGGCACAGCAGTGACACTACAATCATAAAGCTACAAGGGTTTGATAGCTGTGAACAGAACTGCTCCATTAAACACAACAACTTACAGTTAGCAACTTTTTCTGGTTTCTTTTGAAAGGAATTTGATTTATTCTTCCCAGGCTTTAATCACTGTTTTCAAGGAACATTAAATGACAAAGTGTGAAAGGTCTGCAAATGGAATGGAAATGGGCTAGCACTGATAAGAGAGCCACTAAAAGCTGGAAGTCAGTGCTTAAAGACAGAACCAGTTGTACACATGCCTGGTTTGTGGTGAACACATCAAAACTGACTGTTTTAAAACAGAGAATCAAGCCTTTGGGGCTAAATAAAGAGAGCCAAAGACATTTAAAAAATCGCCAAGTATAGCTGATATATGGCCAACCTGAAGCAGAACAGCAGGGCAGCAGCATGAAGCTGCTGCAGTTTACAGCACACTGGATCCTGCAGTTATCAGGGTGGCCACTGTGAGGTCCCTACAGACCAGTATCTTATCTCTGATCATACCCCAAAGCAACGTCCTTTATTACAGTACTAGTCACGGAGTGAATTGGGTTAGATACATCATAACATCACAGATTGGTTTGGGCTGGAAGGGACTTCAAAGCCCGCTCAGTGCCCCCCCCTGCCATGGGCACAGACCTCCCAGCAGCCCAGGCTGCCCAAATCCCATCCAGCCTGGCCTCGGGCACCATCAGGGCTGGGATAGCCTCAGCTCCTCCAGGCAGCCTGTACCAGTGCATAATCACCCTGAGTAAAGAATTTCTTCCTAACATCTCATCTAAACCTACCCTCTTGTAGTTTAAAGCTGTTACGCCTTGTCCTATCAGCACACTCCCTGATGGAGTCCCTCTCCATATGGAGGCGTATACAGGGACTTTGGGGTATTGGAGCATTAGGGCTACTGTAAGCAGAGTGAATTAGAAGCAAGTGTGGGAGCACTATAACACGCGTGAGACACTTTCCTCTAATGCCCTTCCAGCCTCCAAGCACATTAGTATCAGGGACAGGCCCCCCCTCTGCTGGATTTTTGGGGGCTTCTTTTGGTGGTTAGTTTTCTGTTTTATGGGATCAGCAATATACAGTCTCCTCATCCTATTTCTTTGAATGCATACAGACCTGCAGCATTCCAGAAAAATTTTTGTTCCCATGGAACTCCTTGCCAATTACCACTTTGTTACACCACCTTCTACGTATTTATCCTTGCTAATTTTGATGTCTCCCCCCAGCATTATACTGCAGAAGGTGGCAAACCAATTCCTACCCATCTTCTGCAATGCATCTCTCCATACTACACCCTTTCAGGAGAACCAGGTCCTTCCTGGATGAAACGCTGGCTTACTTCCTCCCTACACAGACTATTTCCAAAATGCACACTGGGGTCACCCGGATGACTGGGAGTCTGACTACTATCCGTTTCAACTTACTCTTCCTCAAAAAAGGAGGAAGTTTTACCTGCTCCAGTGGTATCCCTTAGTGATCCTCTCAAATGTATTTGTCAGGATGTACTGTCCTGTGACAAAAGCAATTCTTCTAGCTCTTATTCACAGTGGTATTTTCTAAAAACATCTCTGCCCCAAAAACAGAAATACCAGAAAGTTTCCAGCTCCCCAGAACAGATTTTTTTTAGTGGTCCCATAGATCTATCTCCCTTTTTAGAAATGCCCACAGTTGGGTCTGCAAAGCAGTTGTCAACTTCAGTGTGAGTAGGTGCAGCAGTTTTCTGTAGTAGGTTTCTGGGCACAGTCAAAACTGCTCCCCTACCTGGTGGTAACCAACACTTTCTAGCAAAGACACAGACATTGAACACGGAGTTTACTTAAGTAAGGAATAACCTTCTTTCTCCCACTAAGAGAATTACAGTCCAAAAACACAAAGAAAATAGCCATCCAATGTATATAGCAGCATCCTGTTAAAAGCATTTGTTTGGGACTTTTTTTCCTCCTTTAGCCACTTTTCAACTCTTCAGTGAAGGTATGTTATGGAGTAGAAGCACCATCATGGGAAATACTTCCAAAACTCTTAACGTTTGAAGAGGGTCTAAAGATTCTATCTGAGAAAAATGAAGAGGAGAGAATTTCTCATCTATCCATGAGGGGATACACGAGGGGGTTTGGAAGCCAGTAAAGCAAAGAGAGGTCATCTTTTTACCATGCATAAAGATTACTTACTGCCAATGTACTGTCCCCAACATTTGATGCAATGAGTCCCTCAATTGTGCCATACTCTGCATCTCTAGAATTTAGCCTCTCCATATGGCTTTTCTGTATTCTCCGGATGATCAGCACAGCTACCGCAGAAAAAAATATCAGCACTATCACAGGAGCCAGTATAACAATAATTAGTGTTTCCATGCTGTAACCTGCAGCTTCTCCTTGAAGGGTTTGCCCTTGGAAAGGAAAGAACAAACAAAAAAAGTTTGAGAATTCCCAGAGAATGTCTTTTTACAACCAGGAGTGCTGAAAACATTTAACTTGGTAACCACCCAGACTGGAAGAGAGGTTGGTCCTAACACAGCCAAAGTTCTGCTCTGTAGTTCTACTGCAGTGACTCCTTGCACAACTGCCAGAAATACCCCGGCCCCTTCAGACCAAATCCCACACGTGAAAGGGAACTGGCGACCACAGCCCGCTCACAGGCTGCAGCTCAGCCCCGCACTCCAACCCACCATTCACTCAGCAATACAGAGCACTCAACCTACGACATCAGATGTCTGCTAGCAGGCTCCAAGGCAGAGAACAAAAGTAGGAAGAGACTCACTGTGCTGTTTAAAGCCTGATTTTCACTAGCACAGAAGCCATCTCACTCCCATTACATCAGATCAAAGTTGAATCACTTTTCTTTCTCAAAATTCATTACATAAATTAACCTCTCACCTTTAGAAGAAGGCAACTGTGCAGTGATATTCATATTGCACAGGTATCCTTGGCAGCACTCAACAGCTTGGTCGGGAGATGGTGGTGTTTTGCACGTCATTTTCCCTTGTTCGTAGACTTGGAAGCAGCCTTTCTGGTAAACCTTAGCACCGTCATTAATGCTTAGAGAAGCAAAACATTGCTGGCCTTGGCAACGATCTCCGTTCCCACAGGACATGCCCTCACACACACACTCGTAGTGGACCATATTCAGCTTCAGCTCATCGTCTGTAAAAAGGGAGAGTTGAGAAAGAAACACCATCATACTCTTAGTTTCACATATTTAGCGATAGCAGTCATCTGACAATAAAATCTTCTGTTTAAGGGAAGAAATATCACTTGCAATTAGCGCTGAAGAACCGCCAAGTAGGAGCTAACGATACTGATTTATCTGTTTCAGCAAGACAAAAGTATGAGCTTGCACCATCAAAGAAATACCAATCTTATCTGTCCCACTCCAAGCATTCCCATTTCCAGAGTTCAGTGACATTTAACATTGCCTCACACATGTGCGCATGACTTGGGGTAGCCAGTACAGGAGGGTCATCCACAGGGAGAAAAACCAACAGCGCAAATTTAAAGCAGATTTGCCAAACCACGTTGTATTTCTATATGAAAATGTTTTTTCCCAAGTGTTCTGGAAATGAGTAACTAAACCAAATTAAGGCCATTTAAATTCCCAGTAGACAAAGCGACACAGGGCTTGGTGGGCTTAATTAGCTCGCCTGAACAGTAAATTTGGAACAACTTCCCCAAGAAGACAAGCCTTTGAGAAGCAGCTCGCAAACCTGGGTAACCATAGGCCATAAAAAGCAAACAAAAGCAGCACAAACTATCAGCAAGCACACTGCATCCCTTCCAACTCTAAATGCTACAAAAGTGGAAGAGCTTTCCAAAAAAAAGTAGTATAAAGTTGGAGACTTTTCCTCCATGTATCATCAGCAAAACGTCCAGAGACCCCCAGCTGTAAAAAGACAAAGCAGTGCCCCTGGGCAGGGCTGCACACACGGCTGCTCTCAGGAACAGCACGTGGCTTTAACACTGCCCGAAACACCCGGTCACCTCGGTGTTTGACTAAAGGAGAGCACAGCTCGCCTCTCCGCTAGTGAGCAAAAAGCCCTGACAGCTCTCCAGCACCCCGGAAAACGCCGGTGCCCATCAGGGTACAGGCACAGGGCTGCTGCACCACACCCCCCCCCCCATGCACACACAGCAGCCTCACTCACCTTCCTCAGTTCTATCAAGGTTTCCAACCACAATCCGCTGGGTGCTCCTGAAATAGCAGCACCGTGCCTGTGCCACCACGAGTGTGACTTTTGCAAGCCCATCATTAGAGCCTGCCCACCGGGAATGTAACTCCGTTTATTTTCCTCCCCTCCTCCCACAAGGCACAAGTACACAAACGCAATTTGCTATTTTGGAGCCACTAACAAAAGCTAAATGGGGGAACGTGTTCTGGAATCAGGCAGCATCTGTCACGTTGATCTCAAGTACTGGTACACAAAACCTCAGACTTAAACGTCCTGACTAATAACTTGCTAATTTTGTGGGACTTCAAAAAAAAAAAAAAAAAAGAGGCGTGAGGCGGATTCCCACAATCCATGTCCTGTCCCTTCCCTGCCCCAGCAGCGACACAGGCGGTGGTGTAAAGCCCCAGCCCTTAATCGCAGCTCATCCGGCTGGAATCACCCACGGCGTTCACAGCCAGAGGCCTGAGGGATTTTCTGCCACGGGCACGGCCACAGCCTGCTGATCTGTACAGATCTCCATCCAGCCCTCTCGTAGGCAATGGTTTCAGCGCCTCCCAGTGAGCGGGACACCTCCATGTCCCCAGCCCGCAGGCCGAGGCAGCGGCCCCAGCAGCGTGCCCCCACCCGCCCTCACCCCACGTCCCCCTCTGCTCGCAGCACCCACCTGGTTCACAGCCGGCTCCTGCTGCAAGGATGCTTCAAGACTGAAGGAAACTCATAGAAAGCAGAGGAAGAGCTCTGGCAGAAAGCTGCCTCCCCTCACACGCTGCCCTTTGGAGCAGCTCTGGGACCCCAAAATGGGCCAGGCAGGAACCACACCGGCCGGCCCGCCTGCCCACGCAGAGCACCCCGCCACCCCTCAGACAGGCACTGCCTCCGAGCACGCTTAGCAGCTACCACCCTGCTGCACAGACACCCTCAGCGTGCACAGAGCCAACTCGGCGCGTTGCTTGTCCCAGCAGCATTTCCCCGCAGTGAATGCAGCCCCGCTCGCACAGCACAGCTCTGCTGGCAGCCAGGAACCCACAGCAGAGGCAGTGTGCTGGATGCTGCCTCCCCACAGCTCCCCTGGCCGTGCTGGCAGCTCCGTGGGACAGGTGCGACCAGCAAACGCCACGGGCCAGCTGCAAGGCAGACGATGGCTGAAACCTCCAGCCCCACAGGCAGCCGGTGCTCGGAGCACTCCTGCTGCACAGCAGCTCCGGCACGGCGGCTGTCAGGCCAGCGAGCAGCAGGCAGCACACGGGCAGGAAGCCAAGCCCAGACACAGCTCCGCTACCTGATCGCATGCTGTGTATGTTTGTTTGGGAATGCAGTCCCATTGCTGTGCTTTCGGTCCATGTCCATTGCACACACCTAACAATCTGACTGGCCACGCAGATTGACATGAACTTCACGCAGAGCTTCGTATTGGAGTAAGTTTCACGCCCAGCTCATCGCTGTGGAAGGGCTGCAGCTGGAGTTCCTCTATTCTGTTTGCTTACTCACCTTGCAAAAGTCAACAGTTAGAGTGCTGACTCTAATCTAGGTATTTAAGCACCACAAGGCACTCCACATTGGCAATTCCATTTCACTGATTGCGATGTTCAGCCCTCTTTAAAGAGGTCCCTTCTGTGACCGCACAGAATGTGCCGTGCTGCACCACGCTCACGTGTGCAGGCACAGCCCAGCCTTTCCAGTCCGAATCCACACAACACCAAATCAGGAGATTTTGAGGACTGGGTTAACCATGGAAATGTACATATGGAAGGAAACCGAGATGAGGGGTGGTTACTTCTAGGTGAGTTTTGTTGCACAAGAACAGTTATTAATCTGGGCAGTTTTATTTCCTATGTTGTATCCAACTCCTGGACTGTAAACATTTGGGTAACTGAACATCAAGTTCTACTCTCTGAAGAGAAACACTATAAAATGTTTCCGGTAACACAGGCTGTTCTGAGCTGATCTCTTCACATGTAGAAGGATGCTTTGTGTTCTAACCACCCAGGGAGTTCAATAGGCACTAGGCCACCTTTTCTTACTGAAGCAACAGTTCCTTAAAGTTTTTCTGATTCCATTTAACTGTAATTTGAAATAAACACTACGTTAGCCCTGTGAGATGGTCAGCAAATAACGAGCTAATAAAAACCATACAAAAAGTCAAAACATGCACACCATAGTTAAGAGCCATTTTTCTTTCTGAAGACAGCCTCAATGTTACATATTGAAGAAGGGCTATAACAATACCAAATCATTCCTTCCAGCAGCGCAGCGCCATCGCATATCCTTGCAAAACCTCAGCCTGCAGACAGACCTGGTGCAGCAGCAGTACGTGCATCAATATTTAGAGAGCAGTCAGGCAGGGGTTTGGAGGGATAACCTGCACACACTCCTCATATGTGGCTGGAAAATAAAGCCAGGTGGCCAAGAACTGAGGGATGTAAGTGACTCTGAGCCAGCCAGGCCAGCTGAGACCTGACTGAATGGCCATGCACCCTTACAAGAAGGGCCCTGGGCATTTGTATCGTGCGTCTCAGGCACCGGGGATCGCTCCTTCCAAAGGGGACGGCTTCCAAGCAAAGTACGAAGGTTACAAACCCTACGCCAAGTCGCGGAGCTGCTGAAAGCTCTAGGAGGGTGAAAGAGGCTTCATACTCAAAGGTCAAAATGTCCAAAAGCAGCTGTATTATTTTCCTTTTTAAATGACTAGGATTAGGGGTAGAGGTGGGATCTGCTAGGGCTTCATCCCTTAATGAATTGCAGATGAAGGAAAGCAGACATGGAAAAATCAAGATCACTGGAGTCCATTCAGCTGTACATTAGACAAGTTGGTTTTTTGATGGTTAACTTGCCTTTATGCTTCCCTGTGTATGACATTAAGTATAGGCTTTACATTATATAGCAAGTACTGTGCTCTAATAGTGGCTTAGTTTGCTGGGAAATGAAAAAAAAAAGCTTATTTCCCTACTTTACAGGGCTAACAAAGTGACACAGAAGTTAAAGCCATAATAAACTTTTATTTTAAAATTATTTTCTGGACAATGAAGTACAGAAAAGACATTTCTGCACTTGGAATTCTACCCAGTTTTGCCTTTTTTTTTAAATCATATTTATTTCCACCTTCTGAAGCCTGCTAGCAATGCAGCAATAGTCGAGCATCAGCACCCAACTGATGTCTGAAGATATGCCCAGTACGTCTTTGCTCATGGAAAAAGGGTAAAACAACAGTCAAGCCCAACTCTAGTGAAAGGAAAAGAATGAACTGTGAAAGAACAGATTAAGAAAAACAATGAGGAGGCTTTGAAACTTAGTTATTCTGAGCATATATTAAAGGGAAGACAAAGGAGCTGTTCTCCACCAAAACAACCATCTCTAACCAGTTTCAGGAAAGCACACGGTGCCTGCTGCACAGCCACGCCTGGGAGCAGGCAGCAGAGGATCCGCGTCCATCCATCCCCCTCCCGCTGCAGAACCCCACAACCAGGGCTGTGCTCCGGGGCTCAGCCCCAGCACTGGGGCTCAGACGCCAGGCAGCACTGAAAGGCCTTTAACAAACAGAGCAGCGCGCTCCTGCATTGCTGTGACGAGCCTTCCTCACCAACCTGGCAAAACCTAGATGAAAAAGCATCAGTGAAAGTTTGCCGAGGGGTTCCCTAGGTATTTCTGCCTCCCCAGATGCTGCTGTACAACCAGCCTGGCAGTAGGAGACTGCTTCCAAAGGAAATCAAACGGCATTCCTGCTAGCACACATGAAGAAGGGAGCAGCAATAGTAAGGAAATGCACCAGGCGAGTAATTGTTCAGAGAAAATTCACCACGGGAAGTGGTGGGGGTGGGAAGGGACAGAATAAAGCAAGGGAAAGGAAAGCAAGACTGTCACACCACGGAGACGTGCAGACCCAGGCCCACAGCTCCTGCAGCAGGGCCCCTCAGCACTGCAGCCTCACACCACGGCACGGGGCTGTACCCCGCAGACATCCATCCAGCTGGCCACGGGATGACAGCACCCGCACATCTCCTCCCTGCACATCTCCTGCCCCCGCACTACACTTTCCACAGCCCCGTCCAGCAGCACATCTGGCCCAGCTCTGCCTCTGCTCCCAGCGTAGGCACAATCCTACACCTCCGGTTTTAGGATCACAGGCATTGCCAGGAAAGAAGGAACAGCGAAGGAATGTCTCGGCTTGGATTTAGTAACTCTTCTCTTGCTGATCACCTGCTTGTGTCTTTTCAACACAGCAGGACAGTTTTCAGCTCTAAAACCTACCTTTTTTTTATTATTTTTTAAGACAGATGTCAGATCAAACAACTAAGATTTTAACACCTGTAGGGTAGCTTTGGAAGGTGGTTTGCTTATTTTGTCCTATAGGTTGCACTACACATTATGCATGCTATACAAGTGAAGTTAACCAGGAATTCCAAAATTAGCAGTTTGATTTGTTTTCCAACACCTGTCCAGTGTTCCTCTCTGTTTAAATTGTCTTAATTGTCTGTTCATAGGCAGAACTGAAACCAAACACCAAACCTCTGCATGTCTATTTTCACCTTCCACCATCCCTTCTAACAATTCCACTTAATATGCTCTGCCTTCTGTTCTTTGCATCAGCATTTGAAAGCAAACATTTCAGCAGAGCATTTCAGAAAGAGGTTTGACAAGGTAAATAAAAACGAACACCGTTTGCCCCATCCCTGTAAACACTTCCAGGCCAGGCTGGGGCTTTGAGCAACCCAGTGTGGGAAGGTGTCCCTGCCCATGGCAGGGGGTGGGTTCAGATGGACTTTAATGCACTTTCCAACCCAAAGCATTCTGCAATGCTGTGATCAATACGCCACAAACACTAGACTCACGTCACAAGCCACTTGAAACGCATTTACAACCGAGAAAGAACCATTTGCAGAAAATGTTTGCTCAATATTGAAAAAAGGCTGTTTGGAAGCAGCCATCTCACACAACTTCCAGCAGACCTTCGGATGAAGCATCACCGCCTCTCCACGGCAGCAGGAATACCCTTCTCCCGTGTTGCTGAAGGAACTCTAAAATGCACTGCATGTCTTAAAGCCTTCCCAAGCACACAGCTGAATACCAATGGATAACCAGCCCCTCTGCATTTCCAAAGACTTTACAAAAGCTGTCACGGAAAAGTTATCAAATACATTACTAAATGCTCCAAACGTGAGAATCTTCCTCGAGCTTTAACAACCCAGCTTTAAGAATGCAAGTGCGCCTGGGCCCACACGCTGCAAAGGGCTGTTCCTTACACACAGCAAGTTTGCCATTCAAGTTCCCCCTTCCACTCCCCAGGCCCTGCTAAGACCTGTGCCAGCCGTACATACTACAGACTTTATACATAAACTGGCAACAAATATCCTCTGAAGCAACTCCAAATGGAGAAGCGAACACAGCTCCAGCAGCAGCAGCTGCTGCACTGCCGCCACGGCACTCACCTTGCACGCTGCGGGGGGGAAGCGCCAGCAGCAGCAGCACGGGAAGGATCATAACTCCATCTATCATCGCGGGCCTGGGGAAAGAGAAGAGACTTGAGAGCTGTGCACACTTTCACCGTCGTCTCAAAATGTACCCACCCCAAAGTCAGCATTTCTCAGTGTCTCATCAATTCCTTATACAAGACTCAGAATAACCAAGCTTGGTCTTGTTTCCTAAACGAGTTATTTCCTTCATCTACAAACCTTGTAATTTACTGCAATTTCTTAAATGTGATTGTTTTTGTTTTTTTTAAGAGTCAAATATCATTTGCAGCTACGGTGCATATTTAGAGGTGTGCTAACAAAGGCGTGAACCCTTTCAGAGCCAAGCAGGCACGTACAGTAGAAGACAGGCTCTTCCAAGCAGGTTAAATAAGAGTTAAATTACTGTGAACTTAAAAGGAAGTCCTGTAAAACTGTATTGTTTGGGCTTTGAGAGAAAACAGAAAAGATCTGAGCCAGACGGCTCTGAATAACTTTCTTTAACCAGCAGAAACCAGTGCTAGATGGCAAGAAAAAGCAAGCTGTCTGTAAGGGAGAGACCACTCTTGGAAGCGTCCAGTTTCGTGCCTCTTTTCCAAGGGCTCTCCCCTCAATGGCCCAGCTTCATTTCTCTGCTATTGAGGATCGGTAACCACCTCCTTTCTGAAAACTCTGAGTGTTTCCAGCATACCAGCAAAGGCACATGCTCCATCTAAAAAAAGCAAATAAAGGGGTGGATTCTCTCGCATACTTCAAATCTTTTCCAGGATACTTGGTCTTTACAAGAAAATGAAAGCTCCTCTTTTCACTTTGAAGTACGAATCACTTAACAGGCTACTGAAAAGAAACTCTTCTGTCTCTTAAGTTCTCCACTGAAACGATCACCATTGCAAAGGCACAGAGATTAGCTACAATCAGCCTTTGTTGGGGCTGAATCCCACAAGCAGAGCCGGACAACTCCGAGTCCCTCCAGCCCCGTGCTCCTGCAGAGGCTCGGGCAGACGGCGTGCGGCAGCCCTGCCATAGCAGCGGGCAGCACCGCGCTCCCAGCAGAGAGCAAGGCTCCGAGTCACTGCTGCTCCTCTTACAAACACCATTTACGTTCAGTTACTCAGATTAGTTCTAATTAAGCAGATGAAAATTGAAGAAACAAATTGATTTGCCATTTTTCTCTCAGCTATCTTCTGTTGTTGCCTTTTCAAATCATTAGCGGGCTGCCTAAGTGCTCGGTGACTAAAGCCAGGCCATTTACTTCTGTATTTATTTCCTGACATGGATTTGTTTTGTGGAATAAGGGAAAGATTTCGGTAATTGCTTCATCATCAGTTAAGGCTGTCAAGAATTTATGAACCTGAGTGCACGGAGCTTTAGTTCTTACGGAGGTTCTCTGCACAACAGGAGGACCAAGCAACGCTCACCGCTTCACCTCTGGCAAATTTAAACTCTCACTTGTAGCACCCACCCCCCAGGTAACACTGCCTTCCTCGCTCCTGATGCGTGGCCAACGCGCTCCGAACACACATCACTGCATGGTACTGGCCTTCAGCAGTCACGCTGGAAACAGAGTAAAATAAAGTCCTGTGCAGCGTGATGGCTGAGCAAGCGAGCAGCAGGGGGTTGGAAGGAAGGGAGCTGCCCCAGTGAGCAGCTAGGTGCTCGGTGCCCTGCGTCAGCTCAGCACAGGGCAGCAGCAATGTTGCGCCCCCCGCACACCTCACATAAGCAGTTTCCTCAGTGCTGCACCCAGAGGACTTGCTGCAAGCCCAGGCAGAGGTGGCTCAGGAGACATGCCCTCTTTCTTTCAACACGCCGATGGCTCAGAGAGCAGAGGCAGGATGCTTTGATTCCACGGATGCTGCCCCACAGGGCCCCGCAGGAGGGGGCCTGGCAGCAGGACGTGAGGCAGAGGCAGCGCCGCAGACGAAGGAGCTGAGGAGGCAGGGTAACAGCAGCAGCACGCTGCTCTGCCACCAGCACCGAGCAGCTCCCTGCTGTCCTGCAGGTCTGCAGCTTGTGGCTGCATCCAGCGCCTGGCTCAGGAAAAGCAGAGCTGTTCCCTCACGGCAGGGCACCCTCACACTGCCCCCAGCGCTGTGTCTGCTGGGAGACCCACGCTGCAGCTTCGCCCACTGCCCCTCTCCCGCAGCCATCGGCGCCCGCGGGCCCTCCAGCACCCAGCCACGTCAGCCTGGAGCCTGCCAGGAACAGGGCGCAGAGAAGGAGACAGCGAGGGACTCAGCTGAGCTCTGCTGGGAAATGAGATTAAACACAGAGCTGAGCTGGAGGCAGGCTGCAGAGGAGGGACTGAAAGCACAGGAAGCAGCCTGCACTGAGACCAGGAAAAATTCGCAAGTATTTGTTTTCTTTTCAAACAGTTTGTATCAAAAATGATTGACAAAAAAAAAGACAAAAACATACGCAATCCCTGGCCTTTTATTTCCCAGGGGGAGGAGGAGGAGGGAATCCCATGCTGCACCCCCGCGAGGCGGCTGCCCCCCACCCGCAGCGACTGCTCCGCATCTCAGCAGGTGAGCGGCAACACCACACAGTGCCGCAGCCAGCCCCGCGCCCCCCGGCACCCCCTGCCCACAGCTGTGCGCCAGGACAAAGCCAGCGTGGGCTGTGACAGCCAGCAGCTCACCAGCAAGCCTGACAACTTTACAGCAGTCCTTGGCAAATAGCTTAAATACGGAAACAGGCCACAAAGCCACGACGACAGCATGTCGTTCCTGATCCCTTGTCCGAAGCACTGCGAAAGGCTGCTGTGCAGCAGAGCCCACGGATGGCTTCACGGAGGAGCAGAGCCAGGACAGCAGCACTCCTGCGCAACAAGTGCGCGCCGCCAGCACACGCGGCTGTGACTCAGCCGGAGGAGCCTCGGCCCGACCCTGCACCCCGCAGAGGCCTGCCGAGCCGCCCGGCATGCCACAGCCACACGGGCCAGCCTCGGATTTAACCCCTGCTTCTGCTCAGCCCCGGTCCTGGCAGCGCTCCTCTCCCTGCACGGAGCTGTGCCAGCGCCCCCGGCTGCCCACGCCGCCCGCACGGCCTCAGCACGGCAGCGGGGGAGGAAGGAGCCAGGCGCTGGGCCCTGCACAACTCGCGTTGTCCTTCAGAAGCGATCTGAGAGCGAGCGTAACCGCTGGAAGTTAAAAAGCTGCCCTTATGCTAAAGCCTTGGCCGCTCCTTGCCCCCTGCTGCAGGAGGTGGCGGTGGGATTAGCGGGGCCCTGCCACCAGCCCCGGCCTGCGCTGCCCGCACAGCTGAAGGCCTGCAGGCCCCTCGCTGCCACGCTGTGCCTGTGCCACCAGCCCTTACAAATAAGCCTGAGGAGCTGTGGGCATGGGTACGGGGACCTGGGGCTGCCCCCCATGCTCCCTCAGCAGCCCCACGGGCCGCACGCAGCACCCGGTGCCATCAGCTTGTCCCCGCCACAAGCACAGGGGGAGCTGCAGGCTCTGCCTCCACGGCCTGAACAAAAGGCTTGTTTTTGAAGCACCCAACGCACATAAGAACAAAAATCTGTCTCAAGTAACACCAGCAAGCGTGTCTCTTCCACTTACTATTTGTTTAGAGACAGAAAATAAATTTGAACATAAAGAACACCACATTCCTTAATAAATCTCCATAGCAACACCAGCACTGATTCAAACACCAGGTGGTGACGAGTCCACGAGAACTTCTCAAGGGAGGAGTGGGATTTGATCCAAAGAACGAGGAACTAGGAAGCAACCAGCGAATACTGCACAGCATTCATTTTCCTCTCTAGACATACCGACCTTCGCTGTATTTGTCTGCAGCCCCTTGCGTGCCCTACGCCGAGTTCCCACAGCTGCAGGAACCACTAGATGGCATTGAAAACATGAGCACCTGTGATCCCTGCACCCCGGGCCACGCTTCCTACCACCCGATCTCAGAAGCCGTATGGCAGAGCTGGACACTGGAGTCTGGAAATTCCTGTTTATGTACAGTGAAGAAAAAAAAAAACAACAACATTTTCCCCTAGAAAATCGTGTAATTAGAAAGTCTGCAACTTGCTACAGGTCACAGTAGAGAACCGCTTTTAAGGCAGCAGCTGACAGATCCCCACACACCTGCAGAACTGCACACAGCGCGAGCCGAGCCGCAGAGCAGGCAGGTATGGCTAGAAAGCCAGCTCTGGATTCCTAAGAAAAGATCAAGTGGACTTTTCAGGAGCATAAATAAGCAGGAACACAGCAGAGAACATGCCGGTAAGACTACCCAGTTTAACATTCAGATGCACAACTAATTCTTGTAGGTTCAAGAGCTGACAGAATTCTTGGTTTCTGTTCATCAAGACCCAAAATTTTAAAGGATCTGTTCTGAAAACCCCACTCCCCGTGCCTTTTCCAGTTCCACAGCAAATACATACCCCTTCCTCTTTCCTTCCTAAGAGGACCACTTGTCTCCTCCCCAGACACCGCCCCGTGGCCCAGCGCAGGAGCTGGGGCATGAGGCACCACCACGGGCTGCTGGAGACTGCGTTTGGTCGCTGACACCACCGCCCCGATAGAGCGAGGAACGCGCCAGACGAGAGAGCGAGTCCAATTAGAGAAGAAATTTCAGATTGCATTTCATCTTCATATGACACAGACATGGGAACACAAACGATTAGAGCAGTTCAGACTGCTCTGATGAGATCAGAAGCACCCACACTATCACTGACAGTCCTGGTGGCAGCCAGCCAAGAGCCCAAGGGCTGTACATATTTTGCATGTACCTCGCCAGATTTCTATCAAAAGAAAACATCCACAGCGCTGGGTTGTAATTCTGCCATCCACAGTAGCCACACACAAGCTAAGTTCATCAACAGCCATGCCTTCAGAAGGAAAGATGTGCGTCGAAAAGCAATAATTCACGGCTGGTTGTTGGAATTGAAGCCCACACGAACGCGCAAGCTGCCTCAGAGCAGCACATAAAGGCGCTCCTAGCGTCAGGGACTGGCAGACTTGGGTGCTCTTGCTTTGCCAAAATCCAGCAAGATGAAAATTCAGCCCCAAACTGCAGCTGGCACCCACCTGCAAGAGGGCAC